AAACCTGAAAAAACAAAGCAGTTAAGCCACTAGAGAAGTCTTCCCTCTACCAAGGTTGGACGACCGCAAACAAGGCAGACTAAGCCTCTCTCTCCTTTCATTTTATATTCACTCTATTGTTGGGATTAAAGGCATGTGACTCCCTAGTGCTGGGATTAAAAGTGTAGGCCACCACTACCTGGACTGGTTTCTGCACTGATCTAGTATTGCCCAGGTGGCCTTGAACTCCTAGGGATCCTTCTGGTCCTGTCTCCCAAATTCTGGGATTAAAGGTGTGTGGCACAATTACCTGAACTCTAGTGGCTTTAGCTTTGCCTCTGGTCTTCAGGCAAGATTTATTTATTAAAATGCAAACAATATACCACTCTGTAACCCAGGCTGTTGCTAAGACTATACTTTGTGCTTCACAAACTGAGAGCAAAACTCCATGGTTGAAGACAGGAACATGGAGAAGTTGAGCTGGTGCCTACAAAGAAACTTCACCCCTAACAGACGTGTTAGTGTCTGTGGTATAGGAAGGCACTCTTCATGCTTCCAAAGGAGAACCATAAGCACCAACCCAGCCACAGATACTTTGATCTACAATAACGTCCTGCCTACAAGATATACTAGTGCAATGTTGACACAAATCTTATGGGAGTAACCAACCAAAATTTGGTTTGACTTAAGGCCCAATCCATGAGATAAAACCCATTCCTGATATACTGGTTGGGTAACCAAGAACCTGAGTCTAGATAGCCCAGGGACCTGGGCTAAAACCAAATGTTACTGTTTTGAAGCAAATAAGCAACAAAGAGCTCCTAACAATAAAATGACATTCTCCCAATGACATTCTGCTATACTCATAGATCAGTGCCTTGCTCAGCCATAGTTGAAGAAATTTCTCCCTACAACAGAACAAATGCAGACATTCACAGCCAGACAGTACGCAGAGAGTGAGGGACCTTGGAACCAAACTCTAAGTGGGATGTCTCCATCAGATCCTCTCCTTAGCCTCAGGGAACCTTGCAGAAGAGGAGGTGGGAAGAATGTAAAAGCTAGAGGACAGAGAAGAAACACGGCCTGACACACACATGAATTTAGAGGTTGTCGTAGCATACACAGAGCTTGCATGGGCCTGCAAAAGGTGGGGACCTAGAGCTGAAAGAAGAAGTGGACACATGCCCTGATCCCTAACCCAGAAACAATCTCCGGTTGATAACCACTTTCAAATGAAAATGTAGTTTCCTCCGAGGGGGTCTCACTGGGGAACAAATACTCTTCAGGGCAGGCTGCATGCCCAGCCGTAGATGGCCAACAGGAAGTGAACCCAACATCACCTTTGCAGGTTCCTCGTCTCATACGGTCACGTCAGGGCTTTTCTTCTCTTTCTTAAATTTTATCTTTTCTAAAATTTCTATTATTATTACTTTTCCCTCTCTTTTTTCCCTTCAGGTCCTTTGCGTATATATGGTGTTTTTATGTTTATGTGTTTATTTTAGCACATAGTTAGTGTTTTGTGGAATTCCTGAGTGTGCAAACAAGGGGGTCTCTGTTTCTGTCTGTTTCTTATGCCCTGTCTTAGAACCTTTTCCTTCTGTTTGCTTGTTTTGTCGTTTTCCAATATGTTAGTTTTTGCTTTATTTTATTATAGTTTATTTCATCACTATCCCTTAGATGTCTGTTTTTTTCTAATAAGAGACGGAAATGGGGTAGATCTGGATGGCAGAGGAGGTGGGGAGGATCTAGGAAGAGTAGGGGGAGGGAAAACCATAATCAGGATATATTATATGAGGAAAAAAAATCTATTTTCAATAAAAGGGGAAAATAAAGTAATATCATATTGCTAGCCAAACAAAAACAAACCAAAAACAACAGCAAAAAACAAACCAAAGCAAGTATCTTGCATTTCCAAAGGTCAGGAGTGCGAAATGGGCTGATGGGACAAAGTCAGCACACGGTAGGGCTGCGTTCCTTCTGAAAGTTCTGTTCCAGTGGTTCTCAGCCTTCCTAACACTGTAACCCTTTAATACAGTTCCTCGTGTTGTGGTGGCCTCAACCATAAACTTAATTTCGTTGTGACTCCATGACAGGAACTCCCTTGTGATTCACAGGTTGAGAGCCGTGACTCTAGTCAGTCATACCTCGGTTTCCCGACTTCTGAGGACACGAGTCTCCCATGACTCTGGCCTGTGTGCCACACCATCTTGCTTTGGTAATCACATCTGCTTTGATCATGACCGTTTGCCTTCTTTCCTGTGAGTCCCATGATGCTAACCTGCTCAGTGCTGCCGAACTTTCTCTAGGGATTCCCACGGGAAGGTCCTAGGTTGGGATGTAGGAGCGAGGCGCTTGAGTCCTGCTATTGGCAGGCGGCTTGTAGCAAGGGCTAAGAGGTTTTTGGATATGATGGAGGATTTGCATTGAGACCAAGAACAGTGCTTTTCTGTGGGCAGCCTGACTTCAGGTGTTCAAACCACCACTAAGAACATGCCACACATGTGATTTACCATTGATCCAGCCCTTCTCTCTGTGGGCCTGTATGTTCTTTCCACCCGCATCCAGGATCAGTCAATGTCATGGGACTTTATCGTGTATTTTACCTAGCCCTTTCCTTTGGCTTGTAAGCTTTAAGGCTCCTATCTTCCCTTTACCAGAACTTGCCTGGGTAATACGGCAATTCATTGTTAGCATCTAGATTTGAACTCAGGAACTCTGCTTTTGAAAATGAACTCTTAATCACCATGGATAGTGATTTCAGGAAAGGACATCCATTGAGGTGGATTGGGAAAACAGATAGTAGAAAAGACCACGTGGGCAAAGCAATGGAATTTAAGTGGAGAGCCTTGGTCCTTATTGGTTAATAAGCTTATACGGCAAATTCCTTATGGAATTTAATGATTACAGGAAGTGCTTCTTCACCGTACTGTAAGAATGTACAACTCTTGATAAGATCAAGGCTTGAATAGCTATTCCATGAGAAAACTTCACAGTCCAAGCTTCAGAGCAAGTCAGCTACAAACTCTAGATTGGCATAATAACATTCTGGAATAAGAGTCAACAGTCAAGGGGATTATTTTATGGATTATTAAGCCATTTGACTGTGGCTTAAATGTCCGTGAGCTAGAGTATTATGCTCAACTTATCCCAATGGCTGAAGGGTCACAGGACAAGAAATTCAGAAGAGGCAGGTGCTAAAAACCACTTCTGGCCTCTGAGTCTTTATCAGCCTCTGCCTGGTCACAAGTGCAGCTCTAAGCCTGATGACGAGACCCGGTGAAGACAATGCCCTGCAGAATGCTTCCGCACTTCATGTTTGCAGATACTGTTTGAACCCGGACAGATAGGAACATTTGCCTTTTCCATTTGTTAAACTGATGCCTTAAATACAAACAATAGACACCCCAGAATTTGTGGGTCCTTACTTTATTGAAGACAGAGTAAGATCTTGATGGAGAAGACCCTGTCTACAAGTTCATGCAGTTTATTATATTTACAAACCAGATTATTACATCAAGTGTCAGGGAGCACCAGAGTGCGTTTTAAAGATGCATTGGTGAAAACTGGAAGCAAATCCTGTTTTAACACCTGGAACCTGATAAGGATCTAAAGTCTTCTTGCTAGTTAGGAAACTACCTTATCACTTAATTTTCCCTAGAAGTTAACCTTGTCCATTTTTTGCAATGGGATACAGGATGGTTGTTCAGTCAAGAGGCGCAGTCGTTACCCTATGAAAAGTTCCTGCAGAAAAGGCCAAGCTGGCCCTTTACTCATTGTGCAAGTCTCTTTCTGACTGTCAGACAAACCAGGTAAGGTGCCAGGGATCAAAGTGTTTGTGTTTACGTCTTTGAAATCTGGTTGTGTCTCCTGTGTGCCACACACACACACACACACACACACACACACACACACACACACTTCTTGGTGAGTACTGAAAACTGGAATTCACCCATGTCTCTCTTTTTCCTGTCTAAGATGCAGATGGGGCACATTCTGTGGAGTCTGTCCATCCCTGCCCCCACACGCACACGTCTACCTAGCCAATGGAAAAGAAAAACGACTTACTCACACTCATCCACTGTACGAAGATTTCCAGGCTGCAATGGGAGGGCTCTGCCTCTCCTTGAAGGATGAATAAATAGGTAGCTGCAGAGACAACCTGTCCACAGTCAGGCTGAAGTGAAAACCAGACCCAGGCCCTGCTCATCTGGTAGCTGGAGACCCAGTTCTGGTGGTATGGAGAAGACCCTTCTCTGTCTGATAGTCATCTGCTTGGGGACAGTGGCTCATAAAACAAGCCCCCAAGGGCCAGATCGCCTCCTGATTAGACTTCGTCACCTGATAGACATTGTGGAACAGCTGAAAATTTATGTGAATGACTTGGTAAGACCATGCTTGCCACAATGCAATTTAAATAATATTTCTCAACTAATGCAAAAGCAGCCTTTTGACTTATATCACTAACTCAGAACTAATTCTCTTTCGGCTAGGATCCTGACCTTCTGCCAGCTCCACACGATGTAAAGGTAAGATCAGCTGAATTAAATACTGCAAATGTATTTTATGCAAACTTTAAAGTCTCACGAAGCTCTAAAATGATGATTTAGGTGGATACTTCTTTTCAATGATTTGGGGGATTAATAATTGATTGGTAAAATACTTATTTGCATTTTGGCTATGTATCCAAACATTTACCAGCAAACCATGCAATGACATATCATATTGTAGCCTCTAAGCCTCTAAGAATGCTCCTAACCAATGTTACTAAGACAAACCCACAAGGATTAAAAAAAAAAAAAATTCTGTGCTGGGATCAGTTTCTAAACAAGAAACAGATAATCATATTTTCAGAACCTTAGGCGTGAAAGCTCTGTGACCCTCTTTGTAATCTCGTTTAAGATAAGAGGCAACATTTGCATCTGAATAACAAATCTTTAAAAAGAAAGAAAGATTCAGATTGTAAGGAAGGCACAGAGACTGAGTGCGGAAATCAAAAGTCTCTGGGTGCAATTCCCGTGTACCTTGGCCTCAGTGAGTCTTCTGGTCTTTAGCCTTTGGCGAGGTCTTTCAAAGAGGTCCCTTCCAACAGCTCAGTCCGCCTCGGGTCCTAGTCCCTCGGAGGAGAGGCTCGGCACACAGTGCAGAGGGGCTTCTGCCAATCTTTTCCCCAAGAACTTCTTAGGTCTGATCTTCGGCTTGGTACCAAACGTTGTGAATGAAACTGGGGAAATGCTCGCTCTGCTAGACTTTAACAACATAAGTTAGGAAGCCCAGGAAAGGGTTGCCAGTAACTGGAGCACCACATAGGTGCATTCGCAGAGGAGTTATGGTAAATGGCAGTGTAAAAGGTTAGAAAGTGGATGAGTCACAGCCTCTGCTCGCCCTACAGCTCGTTCTAGCTCGGAATGCGACCAGCGACCACTCTTGGGTTTACTAGGGCCTTCCTAATAAGCCACCGCTAAAATGAAAGTAGCACATGCGACTTATTGAAAGGACATTTCCAATAAGCAAAAAAAAATATTTCTTATTATGTCTGTGTCTCAGCCTCTCACGCACTGTGTTGATGGCTGCGGGTAGAGGGCTTTCCGGGGTTTCCTGCCTGCAGTCTACCCTTCGCAAAGTAAAAATTAGGAAAAGTCCTTGTTTTCAGCTGGGTTGACCCAATGACTACTTTGTGCATGTGCTTTTTTAGTGAAGGTGTCTTTTTAAGTCTGAATTTCCCAGTGGCTACTTTAATGTTTATTACCATCACATTGCTAATGCGCAGTGCTCACACGAGTTGATCGGATATCTGCGATTGTATACATGCATGCATCTTGACCACCGGCCCTCTCACCCTCTTCATCTGCCCCCTCCCAGCCTCTAGTGATCCATCTTCTATGGGAGGATTTTTAAAAATCTTACATCTCCCTGAGAAGATTGCATCTTTCTGATGATCTGATCAGGCAGTGCTAAGTGGATCTCTAACTACCATCTCCAGACTATGCTGGCAGACAGACTCAAGGCAGAGAGGAAGGCAGTGAGAACCACGGAAGTTGTATAGCAAGTTTTCAAAGCCAGCATCCAAAGAAGGAGCTGGAGCAAACTCTACCAAGCTACAGAGATCTGTAATGGGCACCCCCTCTTTTGTTCTTTCTTTTCTTCTCTCTCCAGGGGTTTGCTGTCCCTCGCTAAGTAGGCACTTGACAGTATGTAGGGAAACTTTGGTTGGCACAATTAGGAATGTGGATGAGAGCACTACCAGCGTTTGGTCATTAGAGGTCGGGAATGCTAGTGAATGTTCTAGAATGTGTAGAATGAATCTGACAGCCAAGTAATCAGCAATGCTGCCATTAGGAACCCCCATCTGTGAGCAGAGCCAGTCCGTGAGAGCGAAGGCAAGTCTCCTAACAGCTGGTGAGAGACTTTGTGCTCAAGGGCTATGGCTTTCCTTCCAAAAGATAAGACTCTAACCAGGTCAGAAACAGGCTTTAAGAAATTAATCTTATTCTTTTCAGATATCCAGTTGCAGAGTTAGCGAGCCAGTGCGGCTTTTATTAAAATCTCTGGCTAAAGAGGGGCTGGCTCCGTAACTCCTTTCTGGGGCTTCTTTCTGTACCTTTCATGTAGAAACCATGCAGGTTTAGAAAATTCCCCCACATTCTCCGGCGAGAGCCACTGAGGACAGCATCTGGGAGCACTTGGCATTGTCCTCTGACTCTGAGCCTCCTGGGAGCCCTGAGACTCTAGATTCCCTCCAGGTCTCCACACAGCTCCACATTCCTCAGGCAGCAGGCTGGGCCTGCTTCCTCACGGCCTTTCTGCCTTTGCTTCAGCTGATTCTTGTACCTGATCACACATTTCCTGTAGGACAAGAACCAAAGCAGGGCAGTGTCTGTCCGTGGTGGCTGGAGAAGGGTGGCAACAGCCGTGTAGCCACATCCTGAAGTCACATCTCCGTTCTAGTCTGTCTGTGGAGCTTTGCTGGCTGGGCCTGGTCACTCCTGGCAGGATAGTCTCAGGGAGTTTGCTCTTAGGACCCCTCCCCAAGCTCCTTTGGAACCTAATTTTCTTTCAGTGTACAAATGAAAATGTCAACTCAGCAAAATGAACCTCTGTGAGAAATGATGGTTTCTCAGATCATCACGGGTGAGGCAGTTAGCATTTTCAGTTTCAGCTGGAAAATTTACCTCTTTAAATATGAATATTATTTTTTTCCAGTAAGTTAAGCCGGTTGTGGTCAAAAAGAAGAGAAAAGAAAAAACTTCAACAAACATGAACATGTGGTTTTCAAGGAAAAAAAAGTGCTATAATTAACATTTATAAATAGTTTCTATTAAATAAGCATTTTGGCAAACATGGGAAGGCCAGCACCTTGCCCTGGTGACAGGCAAGCTACCCTGATAGAAGGAACTAGATAAGGCCTGCTGGGCTTGCGGCTACCTATGCAAAGCAAGGCGGATGGGCTTGTGTTATTAGTCAACATTCATAGCGGGCGAGTGCGCAGCTTGGAAAAATGCAAAGCAGGCGGCTCTTTCAGCTGATTGTCCCTGAGAAGACGCAGGCTCTCTCCGCAGCTGGGAAGGAGGGAGGCCTTTGGTTGGAAGTTAGTGGCTTCCGTGCATAGCGGTGAAGAGAAGATGTGCCAACTTCAGGGGGAGAACAACACCTCACAGACATTTGCTGAAGGAAGCAGCAGTGTGGGCGAAAAGAACCCCGGAAGGAGCTCTTGGAGGAGAGTTAGGCCAGTTTCAGGCGTTGCCCTTCCAGAGCCAAGGCTGTATGTAGCTCAGCAGGTGAAACTCTTTCCTGGTGTTGCCTTCCAGGGGATTCCGTTGCTAAGACGTGGCCTTCTTTACTGCCCAGTACTGATTTGGCCAAACCAAAGAGAAGGCTTTGCTCCCAAATCTTTCTTCTTCTCCGATCTCTGTGGTGCTGCTCTGCCGAAGAGGCCCTCCTTCCTTCCACTGGCTAAGCAAGTCTTGCTTTCTGTATTTGGATCTTGATGCATGGGGAACCCTGTCCTACCCAGACATGATGTGACTGGGGTTTGCTAGCCTGAGCAGGTGCAACGACTCTCTGGGGTACTGCAGTGCTCTTAACTCGTTCACCAACTATCCCACAAATAGTAACCGAGCAACTTACGGATGACCAGGCCGGCAGCAGGCACTACACCAGGCATATCACCCATGGAGACTCCTGTGTGCATAGTGGACAGAACTGGCAGATTCTTAGCCAGACTGTTGGGTCGCGTTCCCAGAGTTAGTTCCCACTGGTCACAATTACAGCCTCAGAATTCAGCAACTGGGCTCTTAAACTAATTTCTGTCACAGATAGAAAGACTGGTCTGTTAACTCAGTGGTAGACTGCTTGCCTAGTAAATGTGTGGGGGTCCTGGGTTCTCACCACACACACACACACACACACACAGACACACAGACACACACACACACACACAAACAACACACACACGCACAATCCCATAAAGCTCGTGCCCACCACTTTAACCTCAGAGGGCATCAGCACAGCGCCGGGCACAGGAAATTGTGAAGGGTGAGGCCCCTGCCCATCTCTGTGCAGCAGGAAGAGGCTGCTTCTTCTCCCAGACACTGGAGCTGTGTGAGTGGAACTTCTGTCTTCAGCAGAGTTTAAGTGGAGATAGAACCAGACCTAATGCAGCCACTAAAACAAATGTCCAAGATAGGACACGCAGAAACTGCGGTCTGGATGGTCATTTTTAACCTTTGGAGCAACATTCATGAACATACGCTAATTAGTCATCTCTTTCAGGTTATTAACACATGCTGATCATCTCTTTCAGGACATTAACATACGCTAATCGTCTCTTGGAGTATTCACATATGTTAATTATCTCTCCTTCAGGAGCACTGTGAGCGGTCAGCTTTTGCCTGTTTTCAGAAGGCCAAACTCAAGCCAGCAAGCCCGGGAAACAAAACGCTCATCAGCGACTTGGTCACTCAGCTGAGGAGGAGGCTGCCGGCCACGAAGGGGAGGAAGCCGAGGAGCACAGCTGTAAGACGGTCCTTTGCCATCTCTCGTCTTTGCAGTGTGTTGCCTGTCTTGTTTTAACTTATCCGCTCTGGCATCCTGGGCTCCCCCCCCCCCACACAGCTAGAGCCCTTCATAGAAGGCACATTTTCGTGAGGTGCTGTCACCTGCCAAGGCTTCACACTCTGTTTGGAAACCCAACTAGCTGCCACTCCCTGGCAGCCAACGGAAGCTTTCAGAGGAAAGAAACCGTTAGACAGAGATGTTAATATTTTCCTTTCCCTCCTGTGCTGGCATTGCTTGTGCCGTTGTCATCAGGGACTACATCCCAACTTTCTGACAAGAAAGGAGATAGCCTACGAGATGCCAGGGTTAGAATATTACTGTCCCAGGCAAAAGCAGAGTTAGCATTGGATTTAAGGGGGACACGTGGAGATTTTCCAGGTTCCTCCTTTGGGACTCTGAATTCTTCTTGACTGTCTTTTCTTTGACCAGCTCACCTGCAATTCAGAGACTCAAGAATTGAGTAACTCAAGCATTAATCAAAAGCAGCAGAGATAGCATAAAAGAAGTTGCTTTGCTTTGTTTACCAGTCATCTGTCCGTCAAGAAATTCCACATGGACTAAAATTAAGTAGTGATTACATTATGAAAAGGAGTCTGGTTTCTTTTGATTGCTTCACCAGGTTGTTATGTGGAAATGTCCCTCTGAAACTTTCTTTACAACGAAAGGAACTGCTTAAGATGGTAGTGCATGCCTGTGAGACCAGTACCTAGAGACTGAGGCAGGAGGATTGAGAGTTCCAGGACAGTCTGGGTTATGAGTGTTCAAGAAGGTGGAAGGAAGGAAGGAAGAAAGGAAGGAAGGAAGGAAGGGAGGGAGGAAGAAAGGGAGGGAAGAAGGAAGGGAGGAAGGAAGGAAGGAAGGAAAGAAGGAAGAAAGGAAGGGAGGGAGGGAGGGAAGAAGGAAGGAAGGAAGGAAGAAAGGGAAGGAGGGAGGGAGGAAGGAAGGAAGGACAGAAGGAGGAGAAACGAAGACAAGAGGGTAGGGAGAAAGGACGGAAAAAAGTAAGGAACTAAACCCAGTTATGAAACTCGGGGTCAGAGACTGTGTAGACCTGGAGCTCAACCCTTCTGGGTTAAGCGCCTTCACGCCTTCATTCACGGGCGAGGAAAGTGAGGTCTTCTGAAAAGGCCGACTTTCTCCAGGTTTCAGCCGTGTCAGGAAGAACACCGCTGCTGTGTTTCCACCGGATGTTCTCACTGTAATAGCACGTGAGCGAGCACCAGAAACGGCCTGGCGTCTTGGTGTCAGAACAGGACTAAGCATGAAGCTGAGGGAGAAAGGGGGAGGGAGTGAGAGAGTACGACAAGGAGGAAAGCTAACAACATTCATAAGGGTTTGCTCTCCTTGATAAACTTCAAGGAATGTATCAGGTCAAACGAAGATGCGATGTGAAATATGATCTGGGGAGATAACCTCTGTAGAACTGGTCTTAAGGGGGGGATGCTAGACACCACTTCTGTATCCGAAAATAGTGCGAGCACCATTCTGTGCCAGAAAACAGAGCAGCCGCCTCATATCCTGTACTGAAAGCGTATCTAGTTCTTAGGAAACGCTTGTGATTGACTAAACAAATAAATGAGGAGATAAAAGTAACAACAGAGCATGTATCAACCCGGGTAGCAAGAAGCAAAGAAAACAGAACAAAAGGAGCAAAAAGGATATCATATTTTAAACACCAAAACATGACAGTTGTCTCTGACGGTGAAATCACAAATGAATTCCAGAACAATTTTGCAAATTTTTCCTAATGTTTGTTACTGCACATGACTTATGCTTTCAATAGAAGAAATACGCTCTGCATAAGTATTTTATGAGACAGGAAAACTTTTAAAGCCTGTAACCTTTTCTCTGCTTGTTTATTTATTCTGATTTCCAGAAATGTCCTTCCTGTGATTCTTATGAGAAAAAAGCACCCAAGGAATTCCTAGAAAGACTAAAATGGCTCCTTCAAAAGGTATGCACCTCCACTCTGTTTATTTCTCCTTTTGTTGCCTCCGCGTTGCCTCTTGTGCCCTGTGACTCATGGGCCATTGTTTCCACAGATGACACATCAGCAGCTTTCCTAGAACGCACAGGACCTGAAGATTCCCAAGGACCCGAGGAGACACTGGACACTATAGACACTCACAAGCGCAGGAGTGCACCTTGCTTCCTGGACTGTGACTGGAGAAGTACAATATATTACGATAGGAATGACTCATAAAAGCTGTAGGCTAAGATCCTTTGCCAAAGTACTACACAGATACTGCGTTCACTGACAGGTTCCATGCTGTCAACATGGGAAATCTCTCCTCGGAGAGCTCAGCTTCCCGCGTCGTGGATTTCTGTGGCTTCTCATCTTATTTCCCAACGGGGACATGCTTTGATTGGAAGGGAAAAAAACTAAAGATTTTAACTAAAAATACAGCTAGGGAATTTGTCGGTCTGCAAGAATAAGATCTTTTGTGATCCTAACGGAATGATGTAAGCTGAAAATACAGAAGCGGAGGATGAAATCGGAAATTGAAGTCTTTATTCTTTAAGGAAAACCTTGTACTTAAAAGCATGTCTGAAGGGCTTGCTCGTTCTAATCAAACATCCAGCATGCGGATGTCTAGTCTATTGATGCTCTAGGGGAGAGTTTTCCTAGACGGGTACGAGCAAGTTTTCTTTTTTATTAGGGCTATCAAAATATTTAAATAGTTAGAATTTAACCCATTCATGAACTTCTCTCCCGGTCTTCCTTGTCTTTCTAAAGTGGCAATGGCATATTAAGAAGCAGGCTTCACTTGCCTTCCCCCAATGTCAAGCCATTTTATAAGCTAATACTTTAAACTTGTGAGGATGGTAACTAAAACCTGTGGTAGGGCTAACATCAGCAGAATCTTCGGGAGCCAATCGAGTTTCGAAGTTTTGTAGCTCTCATCTCAAATGGTGTGGGTGTCTTGTGATCAGTCTGCTAACTCCAGCCTTCAGACTCCTTTCCCACCCCTGCTCTTTCCTTTCCTCTTTGTAGAGCAGGTCTTCTGAGATACAGACATTTCAAACATGTGGAGCATTTAAGAAACGTTGCGTGAACCCTTTTGATAAGTTAAATTCGACCATTTGTTTAAAGTCAAAATCAGGAGATAAACTAAGAGACCAGAGGTTCTGTCCCAGTTTTAAACAGACTTTTACTTAACCTTTCAATCTTTTAACCCGAGATGGTAAAAATAAGCAAAGGGTTCTGCCATTTAATGTAAATTCTGACAGTCTGTTTCAATGTGAGGTTAAAGTCTAGTAAGCTATTTGCCCTGGAATAGTACAACCTCTTTGAGAATTTCTTATTGTTAAAATGGACCTGAGAGCCCAGGAGCATGTACCGGGGCAGGAGGTGGAGGATGGGGTGGGGGTAGGGGTGGGGGCTTTGAGCCAAGGAAGAAATGTCTGTATGTAGAAGTGCTTTTGAAACAACACCGAGACAGTGTACAGCTCTAATCTACAGCTGATTATTTAATTCCCAGCAAAGTGTCGCAATCAGAAACAATGTACTCTCTTAAAAGTTTAAAATATCTTTATTGTAAAGAAATTGTGCAAATGCGCAACTCGTGATGCCCTTATATACAGAGAGCCCACCTAAGTGTCAAATGGTGCTAGCACAGGCTGCTGAACTCGAGGCTTGGACGCTGAAGCAGAAATGCAAACCTTCAGGAAGAAATGGTGGAGAGAGAGGGTGTCTACACGTTTTATGTTGTTGTTGTTGTTGTTGTTGTTGTTTCTGGCTTTGTAACTGTCGACTTCTTGACACTGTGGTTTTATATTTAAGACAACATATTTATTTTGGTGTGTTTATCGTTTAAAATATCTGTTCTAGCCTCTTAGATCATTGAGCATTTCTAACTCTGGAAGTAAGAATAATTCAGTGGTGCCCAGCAGAGAGCTTGGATAGTTTGAAAGCTCCAGCAAAAGGTCCACCACCAGTCAAGGGAAAGTCAGACTTTAAAGCAAGTCCTAGACGGCAGGACCTCTACCTCTCTGTGTCTGAGACTCAGCCAGTCCTTGAGAGGGTTGTAAGGACGTCCTTGTCCACCTGCGGGTGATAGCGCGTAGATCTGACATACTGTTGCCCACGAAACGTGGCCACTTGCTTACATTCTTTTGGCTTTCATTTCCTTATCTGTACAACAGGACTACAGGGCTTTCCTAGGTCTATTCTGTGTTTTTTTTTTTTTTGTTTTCTGATCTTTGTATGTCTGAGTATTAATGACCTGGGTACTCTTACAGAAACATCTGACCCCACTTCTGAGTTAAATTTCAGCTCAAGTATAATATTCAGTTCCTCAATAAGGAAAGAAGGAAGGAAGGAAGAAATGAAGGAAGGAAGGAAGGAAGGAAGGAAGGAAGGAAGGAAGGAAGGAAGGAAGAAAGGAAGGAAGGAAGGAACGGATGAAGGGTTGCGGTGGGTCATAAGGGTTCAGAGAAAATTAGTTATGACTGTTAGTATTTTAGCTGAAGGTGTCTCCTTCATACTCGTGAATAAATTCATAGCATTATTAATCTACATTATTGCTCTGTTTTATTTACAGTTACACCTGAGAATTTAGTTTTAATATGAATGATGTACTTTATAACTTAATGATTATTTATTATGTATTTGGTTTGGAATGTTTGTGTTCATGGCTTCTTATTTAAGACCTGGTCATATTAAATACTACCCAGTCAGTACAACCGTCTGTTGTGATTCTCTGAAAACCCTTAATCCCGGCAGAAAAGGTGAGCATGCAGCTTTTATATGGCTGTGATGAAGATGGCCTTTTCTTCCTACCCCCGGCCGCTGAAATGAGAAGATCCCCAGTTCTAGGTCAGGGATCCCCTTTCCTTTGCAGCCCCGTTTCTGAGGGCCCAGCAGGTTTGGAAGGGGTTGAGAGTTGCCTGCCTCTGCCATCACACCTGAGCTGCGTGCAGAAACCACTCCCCGGTTCATGTTGGCCCCACGTGTCTTTCAGCTTCTTGTTCTCAGTGTCCCTTGCCGTGGGTCACTATGCCGTGCTCATTGCTAAGCTATGGGAAGGCTCTCGTTAGGAAACTCCCCAGAACCTCGGACGACTGTCTGAGCACTTGGGCCTTTCACCCCACTTATTCTCACGGCCACGAGCCTGAATCCTGCCGTCTCTAAACTGTCCCACATGTAACCCACCACCTGTTAGTTAGGCACCCAGAACCGCCGTGTTCTTCCCTCCTCTGCACCCAAAACCAGGCCTCCACTCTTCCCGAATCTCTCAGTACTTTCCCTCAGTCACGTAACCCCGGCCACGTGAGTCCCTGGAGCCACCGGCCTGGCAGCACGTGGTCCCTCCCCCTGCTTGAGAAACTGCCCACGAAGTCCCCTCCTGTCTGCCTCATCCTTGCTGTTCTGCTTCGGATTCAAGACTGACTCTGGCTGCTTACCTCTGCAAACATTTAAAAGGCGCTCCACAGCTCCTGGAGTCGCGTTCTCTCTAGCTACACCGCCATGAGCTCTTGCTTTGAGGCCGCCAAGAACTCCCACTTGGGTAGTTGGAGGGCCTAAGCATTTCTCTGCTTCTGTACGTCCCCCTCACCAACATCTATTTGTAACAACTAACTTGTCTAATCCTTTGAAAACCCAACCTCGGGGGCCGTGAGATGTCTCAGTGGCTACCAACAGTTGTGGTGGGGCCTGATGACCTGAATCTGACTCCCGGAACCCACGCACGCTGGAAGGAGAGAAATGACTCTTGAAAGTTGTCTCTGACCCTCCACGTGTACACTGTGCTACAGACAGAAAAAAAGTCACAACTCACCACTCTCTCAACCCAGAGGTCCCAGGGGCTCCCATGCCACCTAGGGCTACTTTGTCTCCCTGCCCCTCTATACCCTGGGCCACTTTGCCATGGACTCCAGGCACATTGGTGTTCTTTCTCCAACATTCCCCGGAACTCCATTTAAGGCTTTTGTACTTTAAACATTTTTGTTTTCCTCTCTGGAGACAGGGCCTTACCCAGGCTGCCAGCCTGGTACTCAGCATGAAGCTCGTGCTGGTCTCAAACTTACGGCAATCCTCCTGGCTCAACCTCTCCAAATGTTGGGATGACAAATTTTTTTTTTTTTTCGAAAGAAAAGTTTTGTATTTATAGTGGGCAGAATTCTTTTACTGATAGGTCAAGCAACTTAATGTTCTTAATGTTTTCTAATCATTTGATCAAAGCTGCTTGATATATCAGAAAAATGACTCTATTTTGAGTCTTAATACTTTAGTAAATCAGGGAGCGAAGTGTGTATGTGTGTGTGTGTGTGTGTGTGTGTGTGTGTCTGAGCGCGAACGTGCACATGCATGTGTGTGTGGTGTCTGGTTCCTCGGGAGAGGTAGGAGGCAGTAATCCCTTGCGGGAAGAGAATGTGAAGGCAGAGTTGGCTAGCTAGCTGAATAGCTAACACGCGGTCACAGCAGGTACAACCCCAGATCACCCTGACTCTCTGCTGGGAACCTGAGGCTTGTTAGCTCCCTCCGAGGCAAGAGGGTCTAGGTGTCTGTCTACTCCCCTGACAGCCAATTATACCTGCTGGCTTCCAGGTATAGTGAGAGCGCTCCCGTGTCAAAGAATAGTCTCCAGAATGTCCTAACTCCAAGATGTCAAAGTGCACAGAAGACCAGGCTACAAGGCTCCCAGAACTGGCGGAGCAGACTTTTGAGGACATCAACCCTCACTGATATTGTCACAGTGACTTCTAAGTATATTTTTCAAAGCTTAAAAGTAGGTAAGAGATTAATTATGTAGTCACCATGGGAAGGCTTTCGGCAGCATTAGGGTATGCCTGAGCCTCTGAACTGATGTGTAATGTGCATCCATTATGTTTTATCTAGGTAACTGCCATCTGCACCACAATTCAATTCTCTCCCAAAGGAGCCCAGTTTCTAGTGTTAGACTTCCACCCTAAAGAGAGAATTCTCAGTAACAGAATCTGACACTACTCGTGGGCACCTCAAGTCCTTCCCACCCGAGGTCCTCCCTCCCCCTCTCCAACCCACCCTGCGGGCCACAGACACAACTCCCGGGCTGCACACAGACTGGCCCCCTCACAAACATTCACGTTCTTGGAAGACAGCGGCTTCGAGACTTCCAGTCATCCTCCCCCTTTCTTGTTTGACTCACAGGAGGCCAATCATTCTTCGTGGAGGCCTGGGGGAGACTGGATGGAGTTACCACACCACCGTCAGCGGGTGGATAAACCCACCCCGAAGAGAGAGAGGAGACCAGCATAGTGTAGAATAGAGGCGGGGTTGGGGGGGGGGGGAACGGGGGGGACGGACGGGGACGGACTGACGGAGTGAGGATGTAGAGTCGCCAAGGGAGGGAAGGCACGCAGTATCTGTCCACAGCTTCTGCAGCACCCGTGCTCCCAGTGATAAGGGCACCAAATAGCTTCCCAGCGTGACGCGGAAGCTTCACAACATGGCCTTGTTCTAAAGTGATTGACGATGGTTAAGAGTTGGTCAAGGGACTGCAGCTGTGACCACGGATGTCACATTCATTGTGTCACAAGGATAGAAGGCAACTTTGGCCTCTGCTACCAACAGCATTGCCTATTTCCCCACAAGAGCGCGACACCTCGGCCCTCCACTCTGAGACTCTGCTGCCACCTGTCGGGAGAATGCGAGCACTTCACGTGCCCAGGTTCCAAGGATAAACCTTGTCAACCACACACCTGCCAAAAGCGATTAGCTTATATTCTCAGAGATACTTTCTGCTGTAATGGCAGCTCCGCAGTCAGGCAAAGGGCGTGGGAGAAGAGCTGGCGTGTTGACTCAGTTGATAAAGTTCATTTTTTTTATTTTTATTTTTATTTTTTTGTAATCCCAGTGCTAGGGAGGCAGACAAGTGGATCCCAGGAGTTGACTGGCCAGCCAACCTAGCTGAAGCCAAATTGTTGTGTCCAGGTCTCAAGAGTGAGACCTGGTCTCAAAAGTCAAGATTTATGGTGAGCTGAATGAGATCTCCATATGATCACATTTGCTTGAGTCACACACTCATGCAGGAGTGCACACACACATGTGCTTCTGCACACATACAATTCTGTAATACATGCTTTTACAATACACATGCACTTCTGCACAAACAAATGCACGTTGGTACTCAGACAGGCTTCTCACACACATGCATTTGCACACACACACACACAAACACACCTAAATAAATCAGGGTGAAAAGGGAGACTTGGGTGTGGAAATACTGCTGTCATGCCACATGTGACATGACATGTCCTTCTGTGTAAGGACAGAGCTCATAGTTCCTCATACAGGCAGATTGCCTGGCTATTGGCTTTCGGCTCTTTAGCAGAAGTCCTAAGCAGGAAACCGCCATCGGTCCTTTCATTT